GTGTGAACTATTTGCAGAGGTGAGGTAAGGGAAGCTAAGAAGGTTTCTATGTCCTTAGTGAACGTGGGCTCCGTTTTGCACAGCTGTGGAGGAAACACAGGCTTGCCATCCTCAGTGCTTCCCTCTTCGAGCGCCGGGCTAAGGAAACCACCCTCTAAAACCTTAACACACCTAATCCTACAGTCACTTGGCACAAGGTCCCCTTCAACACGCTCCTGAGGAACAAAGAGTTCCCAAGACACAGGTTCGGCATCCCCCTGAGAGGAGTTCACTAGCTGTGATTGCGCTGGGGCTTGCGCCGGCCTATGCGACAAGGACCAGTTCACACGAAAATCTACAAACCCATCTGCAACTGGGAAGGTCTCCTCCCATCCACCACCCTTGTTGACGGGGGTGGATTGCACAGCACTAAGTCCTACCTTCTCCTCCTCCTCCTGTGCTTGGCGAGGGGCACGAAGGTACACAGAGTCTGGCAACTGGAAACCTAAGTCTGCAAGACCGTCAAGGTCATCTGTCGATGCTTTCCCAAGGACGTCAGACGTGTAACCCACTATCACTACTCGGGTGCCCTTAAAGGGGGTGACAAAATGATACCTCTTGGGGTCAAACTTGAACACCTCGTCCTCGTCCAGGCGGTGCACAACGCCATGCCGCACTTTGCCGCGAGTATCTACGTGATCTACAACGGGCCCTGTAACTACATCCCCATAACCTAGCTCAACCCACAAGTCACCACCGCGCTTGGGTAGGCACAAGGGAAGAATGCAGTTCTGCGAACCTGGGAGGTTACTAACATCGATATGCATATCCTTAGCTAGGGAATTGGATAGGTAAACTGAGGTGAAGGTGCAATCGGGATCGTGCTCCTTCAGCAATCGCGCACAAATTGCTGCAAGCCATGACCTACTCCACGTGGAGCGCAGGGTTCCTACAACACCTCCTCGCCTGAACATACCCGCTTGGTACTGCTCATCAGGGAATGCTTGGCAGACCTGCATCAATAGATTCTTGGCAGCAAGGGAATCCCAGTTCTCAAGCAACGCTTTGCCTGCAGCCTCAAACTCGGCCCAAGTTCTTGGACAACAGTGTTTGTCCAGCTGAGCTGCTCTCAACTCTGCTTCTGGCGGGGACTTCCCAACAACGCGACGTCTAACAGGCACGGCCTCACCTTCAAACCTTTCAAGGCACTCAGGGGGTTCAAGGGTGCTAGTTCTTACATGCAAGGTCTGCGTGAACCCGTTACCCTTACCATCATCCCTGTAAACTAGATGCCCATCATCTACTGTAGGGGACAAACCAGCATAGCGCCCTGAAATCCAATTCTCTGAAATTTCTCCCTTTGCGGCTGCTACTGAGGAATATGCCTTCTCTTTGACTAAACATCTTGCCCCAAACGGTGCTGCTAGCTTAGATGTAAACCCCAAAGCTTCTGCGCGCTGTTGTGCTGCACCGGCGCACATAGCACAAGGCCAAAGCTCAGGTGGGAACCCTGCTGCCCTGAGATTGGTCCTACAACGGGTTTTAAGCCATCTAATTGCACGCTCCGCTGTGCCATTTTGCTGCGGGGCATCTCCTTCAGTAGTAGTCACACGAACTGCTTGCCCTGCAAACCACTTGCGAAGAGCTTTGTTCATGAATTCACGCGAACGATCTGTATGCAGACGTAACATAGGCAAGTTGAGGGCCCTTAAATAGAGGAATATACGCTGAAGAGCTTCTAGTACTGAGG